TTATAAAGATCATCATTTATAAATATCAAAACTTAAATTATTTATTTTAAGAATTGGTATTTATCTAATGGTTTTTATTGATATAATGATTTCATAATTATATTCGTTGTGATCAACATATTAATCAAGAGCAAGTATCATAACAAAATGTAAAATAGATTATATATAAAATAAAAATAAGTCTATTTAAATGAAAATATTAAATTTTTTCTTTTGAAAGCTAATTTCGGTGGTCAATATGACATTAATACAAAATTGATAAGTATAATTTATTTTATTGATAATCGAACGAAGAAAAGATAGTGTTTCAATAGGTTATTTGTAAAATAATTGATATATGGAAGCCATATTTTAAATTTATTCAATTAAGTCAATTTTAAGATATCTCTTAAATTTCTAATCAGTTCTTTACAAAATAAAAATTCTCTCATGGTTAACAAATTTAAAATAATTATAAGATAAAATAATGTAAAAATTAGAGTTTATATATGAATTAAAAAAAAATAGAACAAAACAAAAGGAGTTGTTAAGAAATATTTAATTTTCATTTTGATCCAAATTTAAACTCTATTTCATTCAAGCCTTTATTCAAATACTTTCATAAAAATTTTTATTAAAATTAGTTAATATAAAATAAAAAGCAAAAAGAAAGTTCTGAGGAAGAAATAACAATTTAGTTTTATGTGATATGCCTAATAATTGATGTAAATGTAAACTACTTAAATTATATGAAGATTTTTTTAAGAGTTATGCATACTTAATATTCCATTAGTATGATTTTAAATTTCTTCATAATATCAATTTAAATGATAATAGCTTGATTAATTTATATAATTTTTATCATTAATATCATTTCTTTTATCAGTACATTTTGTTTGATTTTATTAAACACATTAATTATGATTTATTACATATGGTATAATTACTTTAATTCAATAAATAACGATTAGAAGAATACATTTCACCAAATATTAAATTTTAATTCAAATAATTCTTTTATAAATATATATGCATTATTAACAAAAACTTCTATTTATTAAATATTTGATATATAATGATGATTGTATTTTTAGCATTAGCTTAGATAACTTATCAAAAGATTATATATAATTTTGATGCAAATTTGAATGATTCAGATGGTATTTTGGTTAAATAGATTTATTAGATTGGTCATATAATCATGATATTCATGATTTCGAAACTTGTGATAACATTTAATTTTTTGGATCCACCTTAGATGAGTCTGTAATTAGTAGATTATTTTTAAATCTAGAATCCCATTCTGCAATTTAGGTGGAAGCCTATTTTCTAATGTAATGTTTATTAATTTCAAAAGTTTTGATCCACATGATAATGTTTAATTATTTATAGATGACACATCTATAGAATATGAAGAAACAAATATCGCATATTCTAATTATACCTGTGAGTCCATATTTTTATCAACTATTTCTATAATTCATTAGCATAATAGAAGATCATGTTGGATAAACATATTGTAGCCTAAAGGAGGAATAATTAGCTTTTAATTGAGTATCCTGAATTATTAGGAAGAATTTATAGTATGTATTTGCAATTATCCATTAAGTTTTGTTAAATGGAATTTGCATTAGCTATCATTTAATTAGAAATTATTAGCCTCTCCTGATGGATGGACTCTTATTCCTAATTATTTAGACATTGCAACTTCATTTTTTGGAGGTTGCGAATATCTAAAATTTTAGGAAATTTCTTATTCAACCGAACTACCTCCTCATTATAATATATTAATAAGGTTTTATAAAGGAACTTTAAGTTCAATATAATTGGACTATATGTATGATGCGTTGACCTTTTTAGAGAATGTATATTTTGTTGAAATTTTAATAAAAAATACTTTAGTTCTATTTTTAATTTGAATATAAAGACAGTACTTTCTACAGATTAAAGTTGGATAAGAGACTTTGAAATATATTACACTTTGCCAGAAATATCATTTCTTGGCTTGAATGAAGGTTGTTAAGACTAAATTGGTGATAGATTTTTAAATTGTAGAGATGGTTGGATTGAAGATGAATATTAATCGAACTGCATTCCAATTTGTGGGGATACAATCATTCAAGGGTATGAAGAATGTGATGATGGTAATTTAATATCTAATGATGGTTGTTTTCAATGCAAATATTAATGTATTGATTCTTGCAAAACTTGCATTTTTGGAATTGGTTTTGTTCTTAATGAAAATAATAATAATTGTGAACCATAATGTGGGGATGGCATTGTGATTCCTTACTCAACTGAACAATGTGATATCAGAAGACTTAAGGTAATTTTTGATGATATTAAAAAGAATGATTAAAAAATCTAACATATCTTTAGCTAGATTATCAAAAGATAAGTTTTTAAAAGGTAAAAGACTTAATCCAATTAGCATATGCAGCAGCTATCCTCAATAAAATTAATAAACTAGCAAAAAAAAAGTGAAAAAGATCAAAGACAAGATAATTCTGCCAAAAAAATAAGTATAATTATTAGAAATTATTCAAATTTAAGAGAAATTTTAGTTTTTAATAGTTTTAAAGTATATATTTGATAAATAAAATCATAAGAACGTCTTCAATTCCTTATTTTGTTTCGATTTAAGCCAACAAGAAAAACACTAAAAAATTGGACTTAATTGCAATTCTCCATTAAAGGAATTTATTAAACAAGAAATTAATAATAAATTATTTTACAATTATATAAATTTAGATTATTTTAAATGGTTTTTCATATCTGTGCAGATTTATTATTAA